GCAGGCCATGGGCCACGGGCCAGCTCCGGCCTTCCGCCTGCTTTCGTCGGGCCCGTGCGCCAACGATGGTTTTTATACTTCTAAATAAATAAAAATTAATGTTGTGACATGCAAATTACATGAACGTCAAGTTGCAGTGTCCTTCACATTTTACTGGCACACAGCCGCACGCGTGGCTGGTCTGCCTCCGGCTGCTTCCACACTGCAACGGCACAGCTGAGTACCTGAGCCAGACCCCGGCCAGGAAGCCTAAAATGGTTACTATCTGGCCCTCTAGAGGAAGTCTGCAGACCCCTGACTTAAGAGCTGGCTAGGCCAAGGTCATCCTTAACAGCATTCCACAGCACCTTGGATCCCAGGTACTTAAAAATTACTTCGATTAACACATTTACCTTTACAATCAAGTCCTCTCAAAGAAACGACCTCAAGTTTGAACTTCAAAATTGTGGCAGGTAGAAATCGTGTAAGACTCAGGTGAGAATTTAGTAAAGGCCCCTTTGGTTGGGAGGAATTTGCCTAAGAAGATGAAAATAAACTTTCTCTAAATTCGGCAAGTCACATCCGGAGCCAGTTCCATGCTGTGACCACCTGCTGGGGACCCAGAAGAGGCCCCCGTCGGGCTCACGTCTTCAGGAGCCTCACGACCAGTGGCCTCCAGCTGCTCTCACCTCACCAGCCCGGGGAGGGCAGCCGGAGGGAGAGCCCCAGGGAGTGTGGGTGAGCTTTCCCGAAAACAGCCCACGTCCTGAAGATGCTGCTGTTTGGGAGTTCTGTTCAGCGCCCTGCTGCCCTTCCCTGCGGCCCCTTCTGAAGGCCGTGGCTAGGACAGAACGTCACATCCCAGCCAGGCAACAGCATGGTCCTCCCTGGAAGGGAGGCTGCAGGGGGACGGAGAGCCAGGGAGCACCGCACCCTCCCCGGCCGGTGGGTGGGGAGCGGCGGGGCTGGGCTGAGGAGCCCAGCAAGGACTGGGCAGGGCTGAGGCTTCCTGCAGCTACCCCTCCCCCCTCAGATTGGCATATTATTATAAACCACTGTGGTTAGTTTGACTGCAAACACAAAAAGTCCCTTTATGGGAGTCTCCTTTAAGAAAGAGTAGCAACAGAGGCTATAATAAATACAATAAAATGGTACGTGTAAAATTCTGGAGTTAACTCGGCAGCAGAACACACGAGATGGGAAGAAAGCACTTGGGAGGGACACTACTCGACTCACCGCACCAAAAGGCACGAAGAACGACGCACCGGCACCCGCACTTGGAGTTCGCGCAGTGAACGAAGGAGCACCGTTTCACTGAGCTAGAGTCTCTTTAGACTGGGTTCGAGATCCAGGTAAAAGAGACACCTGGAGCAGGTAATGTGACCTCGAAGGCAGTGCTTCCTAGCCTGTTTGACACCGCAGTACCTACAGAACTGGCTGATACTGGGCGGCACCCTTGGGCGAGCAGACAGCATGGCTGGCAGGCGATCCCTAGGGGCCGAAGCCAGCCCAGGCGGCCCTGAGGGCCGAGGGCGCACCACTGCAGACGCTGGGCAGCTCCGCTCGAAGGTGTTTGTTCAGTGTGGTCATCAGGGCAGGTGGGGGGCGGGGGTCAGGTTACTCTGCATTTCTGAAATCACGGTGACCTCCAAACCACGTTGTCCTTGGCCCAGCAAACAGGTGCCGTGCTGGGTCCTCCACCTTACTCTTTCCGAAGGTCATTGTGGTTGCACTGACTTCTGGGGAAGATGACACTTCTGGGTTGGCAGATTTGTTCTACATTCGAGGGCACGCAGGGTGGCATGGACGGTGTCCCCCTCGCAGAGGCCGCTCGCGGCACCGTTCTAATTGAGGCCAGGGTAAAAAAGGAAGCATTTTTGGGGACTGCCACCCAAAATGTGGACAGAATGAACCAAGGCAAACACAGCACCAGAGAGCAACTCAACAGCAGGCCACGCCCAAAGCCCAGAGGAAGAAGGGGTCTTGGCGAGGGCGCGCGCAGGCAGTAGGTACGCGAGAACAGGGTGGGCACTGCTGAGCAGGCCACTGGGCCGGCTGGCGAGGGCCACCCGGGCGCCCCTGCTGCAGGAGACGGACGCGCACCTCCCGCCGCAGCGGGGCGCCACACCCCCCTGGGCAGCAAGGAATCAACCCCGAGGATGCAAAGCTCTTATTATCAAACCTTCGTTAACTGGAGCCTAATTAGGACTTTTAAGGGCTTGTTTTTCTCACTTTGAAGGAAAGGCTTTCTCTTAAGTCAGCACGGTGTAAACGGAGGGACGGTGGACCAAGAGTTAGCTATCTGGACCTCTTGCACGTGGGCGACTTAGTTGACCTTCGGGGCTTCGGCTCTCTGATTTACAGAGTGAGAGGGTTGGCGAGACGCGGACACCGAACCCCACTGGTATTTTCAGCAACGCCATCCTGCTTCTAGGACGGGGGTGTCACACTCATTTTCGGCAGGGGCCACGTCAGCCTTGCGGTTGCCTTCAGAGGACCGAATGTAGCATCGACTTACCAACTCCTTCGCAGTGAAGGAGCAGCTACATTGGCACAGCCCTGAGGTTCTCGCAGCCCTTTGGAGGCGACCGGGAGGCTGACGTGGCCCCCGGTGACAGCGGGTGTGACAGCCCTGCTCGAAGACACGCCAGCAGATCAGCGTCGGCCTGTGATCATTCTCCCGTGGATTTCCGTCCCTCCCAATGCGAGCTGAGATCACCAATGGTCTTCCATAGTTTTTAGAGCATTTCACATGTTTAATTCAATCAAGCCGCATGACAGTCTGCTGGGGTGAGGTCGCGGAACGGCCGTAACAGAAGCCCTTTCATGTGATGTGCTTGAAGACGTGGTTGGCTGCTCTAGGAGCTGCCCGAGGAGGGGAGCCACACAGGAGAGACACATGGGTACCTACACATTTGTTTTAACTTAGAGAGATGCACATGAACTGTTCTCTGAAATGTCAATCTTTTCAAGAGTATGCTCACTGGATTTCTACATACTTTTTTTCTGGAAAAAAACACCAAAAACTGCACTTATAATTCATTGCATATCATTTATAGTTTTTGTTTCTTTAGAAGAAAGAAGTTAGACATTGATAAGGCAATCTGAGTACAGAACTCTTCCTGAGTTTTGTAATTTTGCCCTGCTCTTCTATCGCTGTCATGCCCAGACAGCAGGATTTTTGAAGACTCGTCTTCATCGTCTTTCCAAACCATTCCTTTTTCACGGAAACAGCGGCTTGCGTTTGTACGCTCTCACTCGACCAGCTCACCTAACATTTGACAGAGCTGCACCGGGCATGCGCAGCATGCCGTGGCGCTGGCCGCCGTGTCCTGCAGAAGGAGCGGGGGCCCGGGCTGAGAGGACCAGAGGGTGTCCGGGCAACATGTGTAGGGAGGCAGGCGCAGAGGCTCGTCTGGAACCTGGGGAGGGAGGGCAGGGTGGGGAGAGTCTGGCATCACCAGCACCCAGTTAGCAGTTCAAACCGCAAGAGGTGAAGGACTCCGTCCAGGAGGGAGTGCAGGTGGAGGATAAAAGGGGGCGAGCGAGGCCCCAAGGAATGCCGACTCTCCGAGGGCGAGCGGAGGAAGAGCTTCCTGCAGGGGACCAGCAGACCTTGCTGGCTGGCGATGAATGAAGGGAAGCAGAGCACCAGGAAGCGGAGAGCTTCAAAGGGCCAAATGCAGGACCGAAGCCTGGAAGCGAGAGCTGAGGAGCATCCTTGGACTTGACCACCAGGCAGCCACGGGTGAGTGAGAGTTTGAGTGTTCATGCCCCCCGGAATGATCTCACCGAAGGAGGGAAAGGCTCTGTCGTCTCGCATGGCTTTAGCCCCTCTCCCACCAGACTGGTCGCCTTCAGGAGCCACTCCGCCTGCTGGCCCCCCGCTGGCATCCTTGTGCGGAGAGGCCTGCTCGGGCTGCCTGGCCCAGGCCAGGGGAGGGGCCGCAGGCGGACTCCAGGCTCTCCCGAGCCCAGGCAGGACAGATCAGCCCTCACCTGAGAGCTGCTACCTGACTCCCAGGCCCGAGGCAGCAGCTACTTGCAGTGCGTGCCGAGAAGCATTTGTGCAAGTTTATCGCTGAAGTCAGGATGACATGAAATCCTCAACTAGAAGCCTTCAAAGCGAGGCCTTTGAGCCCTCCCCAGGCGGAAGGGCTCAGAGAAAGAATCCTCGGTGAGGCCGCACTCTGCCTCTGGCAGACAGCTCCGCCGGTGAAGCCTGCGGCCCCGCTCCTTCTGTCCAACACCCGGCGTCCCCCACGCCAGACGGTGACCAGGAGGGAGAGCGAGTGCCCCGGGATTTGCGTGAGAGATGTAATAAATGAGAAGAAAAACTGCATGATCTGGAACACAGGCTCTGCTCTGTATGTCCTGACAAGTAACGAGGACAGAACTCCTGGATCTTAACAGTCACCGACTGTCGGACGGGGCGGCTCAGCCAGGTCCCAGCGCGGCTGCCCGCGCCCCAGGGGGCGTGACTGGGACGCTCAGGAGCGTCAGTGCCATTGCGGGCCACCGCTTCCTTCCACAGCCACCGTCCCACAGTCTCCCCGCTTCCTTGCTTCTTGAGCTAGTGACCTCGGATTTGCAAACATATAACTCTTGTGAGAAAACAAGAGATATAACAAGAAATATTTTTTCTTTAAGCCTCACAATTAGATACGGTCAACTCCTTCCTCAGATGTGATGTAGAAACCGAGGCCAGGACCAGACGCTGGACACGGCCTTACTGGGTTAGGCCAGCCAGGGTTTGGGGTCTCAGAGCCACAAGGCAGACACTGCCCTTCTGCCTGGGCTCACAGTGCCAGGCCTCCTGTGCCTGGGGAGCCAGGAGGGTGGGAGGGAGTCAGGTCCTGCCTGCCTCAGCGGACACTGTCTCAGGGCAGTGGCTGGGGAAGGGAGATGGAGGGACGGGCCGAGAGTGCCACGCCGCACCCCACGCACGCCGCACCCCACGCACGCTGGCTTCGGGCACAAGCCGGCCCGTTGTCTGCACTGAGAAAGGGGAAGGCACTGACCTGATCCAGACGCAGCGCGCCGTCCAGAAACCGCTGCTTGCGTAACTCCTTTGCGATTCTGTGGAGATTCAAGACCGCCTGGTGCACCTCCTCACTGCTGTGCTCCGGGGAGATGGGGGGCAGCTCCTCCTCCGGGATTCTCTGAGTCGGGCTCTCAATCATGCTCTGCGCATGCTCGTAGCTCAGTTTGGTGCAGGAGCGGATGACGGTCCGGCCAAACCATTCACTAAGGATCTGCAGAGGGACAGACGGCGAGGTTCTGCTCACATGCAACCCTTCACCCACACACCACCCTGCACGGACTCTCTGCTCAGAACGCTGTCAGCTTCCGGCTGGGCACCAAGACCGAGCTGACGGGGAAGCTGCCGCCAGCAGGGAGCTCAGACTCTATCAGACGTGGACTTAACAGGCACGGAGGTCTACGGGGGGGCTACCGGAGGTCTCCGAGCACGAGACTTGAGGGGAAGGGCCTGCGGAGGCTTTGTCATTAGCCTGGGTGCGAGGTCATCAGTGCCAAAGCCGGACAGGGAGGAAGGGCTAGAGGCCCACGACGTGACGGGTGGGGAATCCGTGGGCTTGGTGACGGGCCCGACGTCGGGTGAGGGAAGAGCTGGGGCCACAGACAGAAACCAAGACCAGAGTGGGGGCAGAAGGGGAGAGTCGGCCCCAGCTTGTTCTCTTGGGGGCGTTTATGCGGACACAAGGGCCCAGATCAGGGTTTCTCAGCCTCAGCACGGCTGGCTGATTCATTGCTGGGGGCTGTCATGTGCGTTGCGAAATGCTTAGCAGTGCCCTTGAACTCTTGCCCGTTAGGTGCCAGTGGGCCCTTGCCCCAGCCCCCTGAGTTGACAACCCAGACCACCCCCGGACACCGCTGGCGCGCCCTGGGGCAGCTCGGCCCGGCTTCTCACCAACTGGGCTCCAGCCACCCGAGGAGCGGTGCTCACTGGGGGGCGGGATCACCACTGATTTCTACCTTATCCTTTCCACTTGTCTGTGTTTTCTACAAGGAGCATTTATTACTTTTAAAACAAAAAAAGGTGGACGAGAAAGCTCTGGAGAGCCGTCAAGAACCTCTCAGCCCTGGGACCGTGGCTTCCTGCAGCAGAACCCAGGCTGCTTTGTTTGAACACAGCCCGGTGATTTTGGGAATGACTCCGACACAAGGACTAAAAAGAATTCTTAGGCCAGGAGTGCTAGCCTGAAACCGCCCTATGGGGCGGGCGCAGAGAAGGATGCCCCCCACGGCCCCACGGAGCAGGGCAGCAGGGCCAGGGTCCTGGAAGAAAGGCCAGGAGTGGGGTTCCTGGGGACGGCCTCCCTTACAGCAGGGGAGGAAGGCCTTTCTGGAAGGAACACCTCATTAATTTCCAATTTGGAAACTGCATTCCCATCAACACCCGTCCATAACCAGGGCCAGTGGCCCAAGACAAAAGGACAAAGAGTTTTTCATGGAAAAAGGGGAAAAGCCAGGAGGCGTTTCATAAACAAAGCCCTTCTGACAGATCGCGTCCTTCCTCTCCCCTTCGCTGAGTCACAGGGCCCGGGCCCCCCACCTTCTGCGGCGGCAGGACCCCGCGCGCACTGCGGGCACTGCTGTCTGGAGTGTCCGTCAGACGGTGCGCGGTGCCCACGCCTGCTGGGGGCACACAGCTGGGGATGCCTGGGCAGAAGGGAGCGAGTGACCTCGGCCTCGTGACCTACGAGGGACAGCGTGCCGCCCTGTCCCCTGCCCGAGCCGCCTGTCACAGTCCCCCTGCACCTCTGGGAGGGCCACTGTCGTCCCAGAGTGTAATGGTACTTTCATCACGTTTTAGCTGAAGGTCGAACAACAGAGATAGGTGGCGAAGTAAAGAAAACGAACTGTGCCTCGTACGTCAACCTTCTACATATTACAGATACCAAGTTGTGCGGGTACACAGCCTTTGGAACCATTCAATTCCATTTAAATATACTTTAAAACGTATCTTCTTAAAAAATGTCAGTGCCTCATTAAAAAAAAAACTCTGATTCAAAAAACTGCTCATGGGGTGAATTTGTAATTTTAAGTTAAGTGGATGCAAAATTACTTCTACAGCAGCTCTGGGTTTCCGTATATGAAACACTTATTTCAATAAACTGAATCAGGAGGAAACATTTTCCTGACTGGAAGAGAACCAGTTTGGGGTGGCCAGGGCTGCGCTCCAAAAATTTGTTACTCTTTCCTCATCTTTAATATCTCCTTTCCTATTCACCTTCCCACGCAGCCTACGACAAACTCCAATGTGTCTCGTCTGCTTATTTAAAAAAAAAAAGCAACAGGAAAAATATCTCAGAATAATTCTTGTTGGGAACCGCCCTGCCTGGTATCAGAAGCTGTGACCCCCGCCAAGGCTAAGGCTGAGGGAATGACCTTGGACCGTAAGCCAGCAAGGAGACAAAAGCTTATCTCCCTGGCAGGAACACTGCTTCTGCCACTTCACCCTGCCTGGCCCCCAATGCTTGGTCAGTTAGCCAATGACGGGTAAGATTCCCTAAGGGGGGAACGACCTAAGACAGGCACGATCACGTGGGAGGCCCCCAAGGAAGGACTTTGAGGGGTACGACAAAAGGGGGTGATGGACCCTTGCCCCTCGGCTTTGACAAAAGCCTGAGTCCTCATTGTCTGCAAGAAAATCTCCTAATCTCTTGGCTGCCTTACTTCCCTTGCTACACCTAAGCCTGAAACAATGACAGGGTGGTGCAGCCCTGTGCTGGGAAGGGCGGGTTTCCCGGGTGATCAGGCCTAAGAAAGAATATGTAAAATCCTGTGAAACCTTCTTTGTTTAGAATGCTCTCAATCGACTGATAAGGGTCCAAGGAAGAAGTAAGTTTGTTCCTTAAAGCTTTACAGCTCTTTGACCCTGACTCAAAATAGGCCCTCAGACTTCCTTGTTACCTATTGTTTGATCCTTACTTCCTGGCAATGAGTAATGAGCTTTAGCTGAATTCTTATGTAAACGAACCCAATAAAAAGCCTGCTCAGGCGAGAGAATGAGGTGCTCTCCCTTAGGAGCGTTCTCCCCTGGCAAGGGTGGCCATGGTACTCCCCACGAGAGAGAGTGGCCGTTTCGTCCCTATTTTTTCCACAGGACCTGGTTGTCTCCATGTTTTTCTCGTGTTTCGATGAGCCATCCACAGCGTTCCTCGGTCACTGCTGGTCAGTGGCCATGACAATTCTTATTTTTCTCTTACTACAATGGTAATATGCATTCACTATAGAAACCTTAAATACAGGTGGGAAAAGGAGAAGCAAAAGAATCTCCCATAAATCCACCATCAGGAGATAACTACGTACTGTTTCTACCTTGATGCATATTTAATTCCCGTATCCTCAATGTCTTGTATTGAACAGAGCAGACATCCAATGACTACTCACTAAATGAATGGAGGAAGGACTAACAAGAGTTTCATGAAAGTGGCATTCTAGCTGGATCTCAAAGAATAGGGAGGATTCACACTGGCAGAGAGGAGGGGAAGACAGCCTAAGAAGAGGGAAAAGCATCTGCAAAGTCTTAGAGGTGTGACAGTTCCGCATTGGACCGAACAAACCCCTCGGCGGCCAGAGCAGGGGCTGACAGGGCTGGAGAATGGGCGGCAGACGGTCACGTCGTGGGGGAGGGGCTGGTGGAGGTCTCTGCATGCCCTGCTCTGTGGACTGGACTTTTGTGGGCAGCCACGGCCCACCATCAGGCTGTGGAAGGATGCTGAGTCACACTGTAGTAGTAGGACCAGGTTTGGCTTCTAGAAAGCCATCTACCACCACTGGGAAAGAGCGGAGAGGCCACAAACAGCTCCCCTCAGCCACCCTGGGGGAGGACGGCAAGGGCTTGAGTAGGACAGTGACCGTGGCGAGACAAGAGAGGGCTGACTGGGGACACCCCTCGAAAGCAGAGCTGTCGGCGCTCAGCACCGTGGGGATGTGGCAGAGGGTCAGCAGCCGCAGGCTGGGAGGCTCGGAGGGTGCCGCCGCCACAGACAGGTCTGGAGATGACAGGGCCGACGGCAGGCTGGACCAGCAGTGTGGCGCTGCGTGAAGAGGCGAAGGGTGAGGAAGGCAGAGGGGCCTCCCGACCCCCTGAAGTGGGGACTCCCGCAGGTCAAGCTGGCTGGCTTCCCTGGTCTCCAGGAACCGAAAGCCTCCCTGGGGAGCGGCGGGTTTTGAAGGAAGGAGGAGTAGAAGGCTAGAGCCGAGAATAAAGGCGGAAGCACCTACATGGGCAATAAATACATGGAGCCCTAAGCAGCACCCCGCAGGTGCAGCTGAAGACAGACGGCCTGAACTGGCGTGCGCCGGAGCGCCCTACAAGGTCAATGTTCAAAACGGGGGTGTGAGGCAGGGACAGGAAAGATCCTCCTAGAGCTCCAGGGAACGGGCAGAGACGGGGAGGGTGCTCTGAGGTGGCGGTCAGGAAAGGCTGACCGTGCCTGAGGCAGGTCATGGCAGCTGGGTGGGGAGCCGCTGCACTGTGGAGAGCTGGGTTATGCGATCAAAGCCCGTTTTTCCCGCAGCAAAGATGCTCTAGGAAGCGAGGAGAGACTCTAGCCCCAAGCAGACTCCGTAGTGCAAGCACTGCTAGCAGAGAAGGGGGAGAAAAGAACACGGGAAAAAATCCCATTGTGAAGACTTTGCAGATTTTTCTTTGAATGAGAGACCGCAGAGTTTTTTAAAAAGGAGAGACGAGGCCTAATTTCTGGTTTGGAAGGACCCTTCCGACCACCGAGTAGAGCGGAGTGGGGTGGAAGTAGGGGCCCGGAGAACTGGCAGTGAGCCCGGTGGTCCGGGCAGGGGCTGGCAGCTGGGACCCAGGGGCCAGGGCTGGTAGTGGTAAGGGCGGGCAGATTCCAGAGGTAGCTGCTGCCAGACTAAACTGAGGCTATTTCCCGGTGGATTAGATGCACGCAGTGAGGGAAAGACCAAGGTCAATAACGCCCCCGTGGATTCTGCCCGTGTCCATGGCTGACACGGGGCTGTCTCTGACGGAGGCTGAACCGGGCAACACCTGGGGTACAGGCCCGCACCCTCGCTGAGCAGACCGGCACGCGGCAGGGAGACGGCTGCAGAGGCAAGCCGGGACCGGCGACTGTAATGGTGAGCCACCTCCTTTCTTATTCCGACCTGAGACCTCAGACACTATGGTCCCAAGGTCTCGGGACTTGCTTATCAAGTCAGAGTCTTTGCTTCTGACCTCCTTCAAAGTGTCCGACTGGTGTTT